AAAAAATTCTCAGTAGTAGCACGGAGTCTGGAATTGTGCCCGGTATATGGCAATAGGCTCACCCCCTATTACATGGGACTCATAACATAAATAGTGAAAAGTGAGTGTTACATTGTACAGTGACATAATGTGCACCTCTGCCTACACCTTCGGGGATAAAAGGCGTGATCTTATGTATGTATAATTTAAATAATATAAATACAACCACTTGCCAATGTCTTGAACAACAGGGTAGTTTCTTAAATTTTATTGTAATTCCCGTCTGGTACATTAATTTAAAACATTAGACACGTATTTTTTCTTTGCTCACATAATTAAACTGTCAAACACCAAGCGGTCACCGGTGACCGCAACCTATTGTTCTATAATTGTGTCTACAAAACCGGTACTCGACGAGTTAAATACTTACGACGATATATGTATTAATTAATAAATCGTGTGACGTCACAATGTGCTACAAAATGTAGTATTATAACAACCTCCCACTCCTAACTTTAACGCCATTATTATCTAAGTGTTGTAAACTAATACGAGAAAATAAAAAAATACGTGTCTAATATTTTTGTCATTATCTAACTGACGGACAAATTAGATTTTTAATTTTAACCTGGCAACTAACCTATTTGTACAATGTTCTTCCTTCTAACAAAACCATTTATTTTCTGCACAGATAGTTGAAACGATGTCATACAACTCCGATGTGGCCTCATTCCTGTCAGTGGATGATGACAATGCCGACCTGGAGCTGGTGGCAGGAGACATCCTGGCGAGGGTCCGCTCTGGAGAGAACTCGCCTGTTTGTGAGTTGAGTTTCATCTTACATAAAACAATTATGGAGTAATATTGTACGTCATATCGTAACTCCTGAACTGCTGGACCACTCCATCCAGCAGTCGTGATGAATTTTGGTATAAGAAAATGACAAAGACTGCCTCGTTGGCCGAGTGGTCTCAAGGGCGACTGCCGGGCAAGGGGTCTTGGGTTCGATTCTCGGGTCGGGCAAAGTATTACCTAAAGGGTTTTTTAAAAAAAAATCTCAGTAGTAGCACGGATTCTGGAATTGTGCCCGGTATATGGCAATAGGCTCACCCCCATAAATATAGGACCCCATAGGACTCATAACATAAATAGTGAGAAGTGGATGTTACATTGTACAGTGGTATAATGTACACCTCTCCCTACCCCTTCGGGGATAAAAGGCGTGATGTTATGATGATGATGATGATGATGAAAATGACAAAGAATGATTTTTGAGCGAGCAGTTCAATGACTAATTTAATTACTATCATGTTTTCATTGATTTAAATGTTTCATGTATATACCTGGGATGCACTGGACTTCTTTTTACCATTGTATCTACTGTAGATCCTGGCTTACACGAGTTTCAGCAGTTTTGTAAGGTAGTGACAGGCGTGACCCATTTAAAAACGTTGTTCAATATCTTATGCTTCTCTTGCAGTATCGGGTGCCTCCTCACCTCGCGGCGAATCTCCAACGCCGGCACGACAACGACACGACTCCGAGGACGAGTACATAGACACAGTCGATGTTAGTGTAGTACGTATACATGTGACTAATTCTATGGTGGGTGGTACTAATGGGGGTTTTGTCGCGGAGAACCTAACGGGTAACCGGGGGTTCCGGCTCGACGTGCAGGAGAAGGAACGGGGTGGTTTTTAGTCAGTAGTCTTCGTCGCCGACTCCCGTACAAATAACATGCACTCGGCGCATGCGTCGCTGCGCGTGTAAGTGTAGTGGGCGTCGACCACCACCTCACCTGATCTATACAAAATCATAAGCGATGGCGATTTTCTTCAAATTGTAAGGTGGTGGTCCAAGTGATAATCCGCTACAAGTCAGTAAGAGTCTGACACTCCCTTCCGTCTCACCCAGGCGGGAGCAGTCATTCGATGATTTTCCCCCCTTAAAAAAAATATGGTGGTATTAAGAGCCTTATGGACTGGCAGACATGTCGCGTTTGCGCAGCGAATACCTTGCGATCACGCTTCGGTTGTGCAACATATTCATTGCCTATAATCTACCCTAATATAATCCGTAAAATAACAATACAACGTACTTGCCACGCGTCCGCAACGGATACGCTGCGCAGCGACGGCGTGACACACCAAATCACACTACAAAAGTAAAAACCAGATGGACGACTTTATTTTAATAAACCATCAGAGACCTTCGTACGAGTTTCTTTTTCGTTTAAACGCGTTCCGCGCTGTGATTGGCCGCCTCTAATGAACCAACCAATCAGAGCACAGAATGCTGTCTCGTTTCGATTACTTTAAACGAAAAAGAAACTCGTACTAAGGCCTCAGAAAGTGCTTATCGAGCAATAATTCGTAGAATTTTATTTACGACTCTTAGTATTTTTTTAAATATATTAAAATATCGATAAAACACAAATTAACGAAATCAATTATCGATAAAAATAATGAAATTTGTATAGATAAACGCAATATAAAAAAATTATACGTAGAAAATTGTATTATAAAATTTCTCAGACCTCATAAAACGCAAAAGACAATAATTAGGGTTTCCATGCACAGGTTATTGGGAATCCAAATAAGCTAAGAAGATCAAACGTGGCCTGGGACGAAGTGCAACGTCTGCACCTAATGTTCGAAGAGACAGATGGTCAGACCAATCCGACGGGTGGTCAGACGGGTCAGACTGGCGGTCAGACGGGTCAGACTGGCGGTCAGACGGGTCAGACCAGTGGTCAGACGGGTCCGACCCAACCCAACACTGGCAACCGTCGACCCAATCCCAGTGCTGGGCAAAATTCTAAGGTCCAATTTTCAGTTGGATTTCTGTAAACGCTTTTAGCAGTCGGATATATTTTCTGATTATTTTTTAGTTTTTTGGTGTTTCTTTGTTTGGGGTTTGTGTACGACGACTTTATTTAACTACGCCAACAATATTGATTGATTACTAATCGATTTTGTGAATTGTGGACTAATTGTCAAAATTAATCGTTGTTTGAAAAGACGTCGTGAACAATAATCCCTTGCTGGTATGCCTACGTCTACTGGTTCAGAAAAATCCAGACAACATCCTGTATAACATGTAGATATATTTAAATGTACCACTATATTTTTACAACAAATTACGCGTATTATATTCGACGAAAGGACGCTATTATAAACTAGATTTTTTTTTATAGCATAAGCCGGTAAACGAGCAGACGGATCACCTGATGGTAAGCAATCGGCGCCGCCCATGGACACTCGAAACACCAAGGCGTTACAAGTGCGTTACCGGCCTTTTGGGAATTGGGAATTTGAGGATTGTGGAGGATTCGGGGATTCGGAAGACGGGACTAGGGAGGGGTAATTGGGCCTCCGGTAACCTCACTCACACGACGACACACAACGCAAGCGTTGCTTCACGTCGGTATCACTCCGGTCGAGCCGGCCCGTTCTTGCCGAAGCATGGCTCTCCCACACTTTTGCTGTGTAATTTTAATTCTGAACCGAAAAAGTTAAATTTTTGAAAGGTAGCAGGTAGACCTCTGGAAATCTTTATAGATTTTATCGTTTAGTTTTAGTCTACTCTACTTTACAGCACGAAAATATTTCAAACATATGTGTCGGGTTAATGAAATACAAATTTTGGACCCATTTCAAGAATAAAACGCAGGGTATTGTCTGGATTTACCATAGATACCATTTATAGTAGAATGCCTTTTGCCTGAGGTCGATCGCATGTAAATGTATTCATAGTATTAAAAAAATATAAAGATCAGTTGCATTTATGTACAAAATATTTATAAATGTCAGTAGATAGAGTCTAAGGGCACAATGTTTATCCTGAAACTCTTGGGTCTAATCACACTGGCAATTTTTTTAAACAAGGTAAAACATCTGAGTCTTTCGTAGACAGTAACATGATATAAACACCTCATCACATGAACACAAGTAATTTTTATAAAATGTTGCCTTACAATAGGTCTTTCTCCCGTGTCGTGGGTGCGTTTACAAATATACAAGTTCACATACACATCACACCCAGACCCGAAACATCAATCTGTGGATAACACAAAGAGTTGTTCCGTGCGGGAATCGAATCCGCGACACGTTGCGCGGCAGTCAGTTGCCCAACTGCCGCGCCAACCGGGCAGTCAGTGTGATAATACTCATATTATTTAAAACACATAATATTTGTAATGTAATCAATATAATAATGTTCATGTGGCTCACTCTAAAGCTGTAACGCCTTCTATGAGCTCTGTTCGGGCTCGAAATTTATTGAGCATCTCCGGAATGCATCGAGAGCAAGTAGCATGAATATTATCTAATGTGGGATACTCTTTTTGTATCCGCTAGATGGCAGTAATACGAATTTAGTTTGTCCAATTGGGTACTTGCCAATTAGTCAAATTCAATACTTTTTTCGAACTGTCAAAAACGACAGTTTTCTATGAATTTTGTACGAGATTGTGTTTTGTGACGTCACGTTTTTTTAGCATCAAACATCATACTTATTTCTTAATAATTTGCTGGAAAAATACAAAAATGAAGTTGGTCATATAATCAATTAATAAAATTGTGATTATTTTTTAATATTTCATAGTATTTAACAGTCGGAATAATTTATTTTTGATTGAGGAAAGTACCCAATAGAGAATTCCCTGTAGCTACTGGAGTCATTGGACAAACAGGAACTTAGGTCATATCAGTCCATCTGGTGAGCACTAACCGTCCTTTAGATTGAAAATGTAACCATAGACCTTCGATCAACAATAACAACTAGATATCGGGTCGGCGCAAGAAAATCGTCTCGCCAAATAAGAGCTCACTTGAGAAGTGAGCTCTTATTTTGTTTAGTATACTCCAAACATGGCCAACGTTCTCACGTCTCACGATGCCGCAGTGCGTGGAAAAATTATAACCGAAAAAGCAGTGTAACGGCCGGAGTGTCTTACTTTTGATAAGTACATAAAGTATAAGTTATATTTTAAGCTTTTGAACTAGTAAATAATAGCAAATTAGACAAAATTACCAATTATAAACCAACGCCACCAATGTTTGTGCGTGTGTTGGCGATCCCTTGGCCAAGCCTCGCCAACACGCGCACAAACATTTGTTTAAACAGAACAGTGGATGCATGGAGTCGATTTGTATTGTAAAATAAAATTGTATTGTAACCTGATTGGAAAAGAGTATCTAACCTATAGAGTTTCTTGCTTGTTCTTCTCCATAGGAATCTACACCTTGGAATGAGCAAATAGCTTCACTTTTAAATTTATATTGTTGACGTTCAAAAGTGCCTTCCTGGTCTAACTGAAATAAATGATTTTGACTTAGACTTTTAATGATAAAGTAAATAAACATATCATATACAAAAACGTACTGCTTATTAAAATAAGTGATGTATTTTTATTTTTTTTTTTTAATGGGACAAGCCCGCCACAACCTCCCAAAACCGCTGCAACTCCTGTAAGCCAGGATCTACAGTAGATACAACCATGAAAACACCGGAACACTGAAGTCCGGCGCGTCCCAGGGACATGAGTAACTGTCTTGGTTCCCGCAACGAAGTGAATCAGAAGATATTATAAGAGGAGAAGAAGAAAAACTATGGTTTTCACTTCCCTCGGTGAATTACTGCAGGAGACAGAATGAATTAAGCCTAAAGGCACAAAGAAGAGACTGTACAACTGGGTGAAGCCCAGTCGCCAAGCACCACGGAAATTTGACTAAAAACTAAAAAATAAGTGATGTATACTAAGACCCGAAATCTTAATTATCATATTATAAAATTATTTTTGTGTCCAACGCGACTCCATACATACCTCTTATAGCAAAATTCGAAATTTGAAGAAGCAAAACGAAACAAAACAAAACGATATAGATCGCAAGACAATAATGGAAAAAATATCTTTATTTGTTCAAACTTAAGGTTGAATTCAAACTAGATATTGTATAACTTATGTCTTTTAATTTCTACATGACAGGAGTTTTACTTAATACTTTTCTCGTCTTATGTGACGAATGGTCGTAAGTATTAGATAATATTTTGACGATTTATGACTATATTATTAGGTCCCATGATTGTTTATTAGGTTGAACTTAAAACTATTTTAAAACATTTTTCTCTGTTTGTTATTTTTTACTATTATTATTCACACGGACAGAACTGGAGCTTGATTTTGTACGAAACCCTTTATCTAGTTGCTATTGTTGATCGAAGCCATAGACAGACAAAATAATTATGTAAAAATTCTATCTCTAGTAGCCATACAGCTGTAGCTAAATGCCATTTGGCGCTTGTCTACATGTAGAATAGAAAACTAAATTATATGTAATTGACGTAAATTTTGACACTTGTCAGTATCATGCCCATACATATTGATTTCTACTCTCTCTGTAGATAAGCGCTAAAGTGGCGTTTGGCTAAAGGTAATGGTTATTATCCATAGGTTCTATTACAGGAATAAGAGAGAGAAAGGCCGTTTATTTGTTAAAATATTGTCTGTATCTATGTTTGTTTGTTGTTTGTACTTCAGAGTGACTCTGAGTCGGCGCCGCCCGCGCCGCCGCCACAGCGTCAGACTGCACAGAGGCTCAGCAACGGACATGCGCATCAAATCACATCGCAACTCACACGTAAGTTACAATATAGTAAAAAAAAATCATTTTTTTTTTGTTTGTTTGTTTGAACGCGCTAATCTCCGTCACTACAAGTCTGATTTGAATAATTATTTTTGTGTCGGATAGCCCATTTATCGAGGATGGCTATAGGCTATAAAACATCACGCTACGACCAATAGGAGCTTAGCAGAGCGTGTGAAATCGCGCGGAAGTAGGTAGTGTTCCATAAAATAAAATATGACCACTGAAAAGTTAAATGTATTCTTTCATAAAACCGATGCACTACTCTAGGAACACAATTTCGTGATTAAGTTTAACATTTTTGTCTTTATTTAAAAACCTCCATGTCTTTATTTAAAAACCTCCATAATATGTAGATCTCCATCACAAAATAGGGCAAAGTTTTAACTCGTCGAGTACCGTCATTATAGACACAATTATAGAACAATAGGTTGCGGTCACCGGTGACCGCTTGGTGTTTGACAGTTTAATAAACATGTTTTTTTGTTATATTACAGATCTTAAAGTACTGGAACAGCTACCAGGCACGCTGGCGCGGCTCGAGGCTGACGTAGCGGCGCTCAGGAAGGCCGTCGAAGGAGACCGGAGGATACTCGACGTAAGTCGCTCAATTTCGCAAATAGATCACCTGATGGTAAGCAATCGGCGTCGCCCATGGACAGCTGGAACACCAGACGCGTTACAACTGCGTTACTGGCCTTTTGGAGATTATAAATTTGATTATAAATTTTAGGATTGTAAATTATTATAAATTTGATTTTCGGGGATTGGGGAGACTGAAAAGGAGAGAGGGGATTAATTAGGCTTTCGGTAACCTCACTCACCTGTGTCTTTAGGCTTCATTCATTCTGTCTCCTGCAGTAATTCACCGAGGAAAGTGGAAACCATAGTTTTTTTTCGTCTTCTCCTCTTATAATATCTTCTGATTCACTTCGTTGTGGGAACCAAGACAGTTACTCATGTCCCTGGGACGCGCCGGACTTCAGTGTTCCGGTGTTTTCATGGTTGTATCTACTGTAGATCCTGGCTTACAGGAGTTGCAGCGGTTTTGGGAGGTTGTGGCAGGCTTTAAAGGCAGTGACCGCAGCAGTACCAAAGGATGATTCTCTTACACTGATATAATGGATGAATTTAAAATCCTTTGACTTTGTGTACAGCAAGTGTCCCGCGGCTGGCGCTGGCCGTGGCAGGAGCTGAGCGCGCCGACACTGTTACTGCTCGTCGTGTGGCCATTCGTCGCGTACAGGATCGCGGCACGGGGGCAACGCAGGCACACGTAACGTTAGTCTTATACCTTATTTTTATCCTAATTAGTATTTTTTTTTTATATTTGATTGGGCGACGTTTGACCAATATCTCGCCTGGTGGTAAGTGATGATGCGGTCTACGATGGAGCACGTCGTCCCATAAGCAACCTATTCACTCGGGCCTTGAAGACCTAGTATTTGGAAATTATTGGCCGTTTCCCACACGAAGAAACCGTGATAAAACGAAGACTTGTAATTACTTTCATTCATTTTTCAATAAAAATTAACCAAAAAGTAAAAAGAGACATCTACTAGTAGAATAAGGGTATTGACAAATGTATTCGATCCAGCCATCACCATACGGTTTGTATTGCATTTGATAAGATAGCAATCATCATCATTGTAGCAGTGAACGCAGGCTTACCCAATGACTCCCAGATAGGCCGGTTAGAAACTAACATAACATCACGCCTTTTATCCCCGAAGGGGTAGGCAGAGGTACACACAGAAGTAACACCCACTTTTAACTATTTATGTTATGAGTCCCATGTAATAGGGTGTGAGCCTATTGCCATATACCGGGCACATTTCCACACTCCGTGCTACCACTGAGATTTTTTTTTAAAAAACCCAGTAGTACTTTGCCCGACCCGGGAATCGAACCCGAGACCCATTGCCCGGTAGTCGGACTTGAGACCACTCGGCCATCGAGGCAGTTTATATTTTACAGTATTCTAAACTTCGATCAACAATAACAACTAGATAAAGGGTTACGTACAAAATCAAGCTCCAGTTCTGTCCGCGTTAATAATAATAGTAAAAAATAACAAACAGAGAAAAATGTTTTAAAATAGTTTTAAGTTCAACCTAATAACAACCATGGCACCTAATAATATAGTTATAAATCGTCAAAATATTATCTAATACTTACGACCATTTGTCACATAAGACGAGAAAAGTATTTTCTTACTCCTGTCATGTAGAAATTAAAAGACATAAGTTATACACTATATAGTTTGAATTCAACCTTAAGCACGAACAAATAAAGATAATTTTTCCATTATTGTCTTGCGATCTATATCGTTTTGTTTTGTTTCGTTTTGGTTCTTCAAATTTCGAATTTCGCTATAGGAGGTATGTATGGAGTCGCGTTGGACACTAAAATAATTTTATAATATGTAAATTAAGATTTCGGGATCTTAGTATACATCACTTATTTTTATTATCGGTACGTTTTTGTGTATGATATGTTTATTTACTTTATCATTAAAAGTCTAAGTCTAAGTCAAAATCATTTATTTCAGTTAGACCAGGAAGGCACTTTTGAACGTCAACAATATAAATTTAAAAGTGAAGCTATTTTCTCATTATAAGGTGTAGATTCCTATGGAGAAGAACGAGCAATAAACTCCATAGGTTAGATACTCTTTTCCAATCAGGTTACAATACAATTTTATTTTACAATACAATTGGACTCCATGCATCCACTGTTCTGTTTAAACAAATGTTTGTGCGCGTGTTGGCGAGGCTTGGCCAAGGGATCGCCAACACACGCACCAACATTGGTGGCGTTGGTTCATAATTGGTAATTTTATCTAATTTGATATTATTTACTAGTTAAAAAGCTTAAAATATAACTTATACTTTATGTACTTATCAAAAATAAGACACTCCGGGCGTTACACTGCTTTTTCGGTCATTATTTTTGCAACTTGCAATTACTCACTGCGGCATCGTGAGACGTGAGTACGTTGGCCGTGTTTGGAGCATACTAAACAAAATAAGAGCTCACTTCTCAAGTGAGCTCTTATTTGTCGAGACGATTTTCTTGCGCCAACCCGATATCTAGTTGTTATTGTTGATCGAAGATTCTAAATGTCATTTTCTGTATTTATTTCAGGTAATAAAAGCAGCTTACTACTAGGTGTAAGGGATCATACGTCACAGTTCACAAGCTGTTAGATACGACTGTAACAATATACCCACGGTTTACAATACATAACCGAAATATTAAATAATGTCATAGTGTGTTCTATTATCAGTTAAAAGGCGTCCACTGATGGCTAAGGAAGAATTTGATTTATGTTTAATGCAATTGAAACGTTACTGCGTTGCGCGTTACTGGCCAATCAAGGGGCTTACTCTTGAATCCAATTTCGATCGATCGACATTGGCATTGTAAAATTTCGTACTTTTGAGTTGCAACACTAGCGCCCATTGCATCCGTATTGCGTGGATATTGAATGAACTAAATGTTATTGTGGTTGGCTTTATATTCCGTACTCTGAATGCTATTTTAACAGCTACGATCAGGGCTTGCACAGTTTTGACATTGAATAATTATTGAGATTGTATTGGATTGAAATTGCATTGACATTGAGATTGACTTAAGAGTAAGCACCGAGCGCCGAAGCCGGTAACACGTAGTTGAGATTGACTTAAGAGTAAGCACCGAGCGCCGAAGCCGGTAACACGTAGTGTTAAACTCTCTGCTGAACAAAGGTATCTTCCTTAGTCCCGCAAGCCGATAAATAAGACGTTACATGTATTCAATAATTGTCTGCGACCTTTTTTGTGGGTAGAGAATCATCCAATAACTTCTGCCACCCTGAGTGAGGCGGGAGGGAGTGTCAGACTCTTACTGACTAAAAACCACCCCGTTCCTACTCCTGCTACTCAAGACCAGGGCTAGTAATAAAATACACTATGACATATTAATCGCTTCACAAACAAAGCAACTGTAAAATAAAAGAGAACAAGAACTATTATGAAAGGTTTTCGTAGTGGTAGTTCGAATGGTTTCGAGCTTAACGGGAGCCCAAAGAATGTTAAAAACAATAATTTTGTCATTGATCTTAATATCAGTTAAAGGTTTTTGCTATTAAAAACTATATTTTTATAATAGAGTTGAGACATACTAAATTGATTGAATTATTTCTCATACAAACAGTCTATTGGTTTAAGTCAGAAAGGGGCCTCATACTCATGATGATTCTACTCCAAAGCATAAAGTCAAAGTCAACGTCAATTATTTCAATTAAACCATAATTTGGTACTTTTGAAATGTCAACAAATACAAAATAAATAATAGTCTGTCAGTCTGTCCGTCAGTGAAAAATAAATATTACATGTTGCATTGTCTGTGGAGCGTCTGTATAAAAACTTGTATGTATGTATGTATGTATGATTGTATAGGACAGTCCGTATATAAATTTAAATTTTAAATTAATATTGTGCAATTACTTTTTTTTTTTGTTATAGCATCTCTTGTTTTGGGGAATATTATTTTGAAATGAGGAATACGAAGTTTTGAAGTATTTCGGGCTGGTCCGATTAGTTGCGAGCTCGAACGGAACCTTTAAAAGGTTTGTAGAAAAAATTCGTTAATGATTTTTGTATCCGTTAAATTTTACAGTAATGTCCTATTTTCAAATTCTTGTTTTCTAAATCAGGAGGTGTTAATGCATATTAGGTCTTATTCTGATTGAAATAAAACCTATTTTAGCTATAGAGAGTTTTATCCTCAAACTATTTTATGTTTTTTAATAACACAGATCATTTCTATGTCAGAAAATTATAATTTTTTAAATGAATTAAAAATAATATTATAATCACAAATATTGCATTTCCAATATTTTAGTGAAATGCGGTTGATTTCCGGGGTTCTGGTGTAAATTTTAGTTTTTAGTTTTATTAATTAAAATAAAATAAAATTCAAATATGGAAAAGTAAAAGTTGTAAATTGGTATAGGCGTCCACCAAAGTTGTTTCTGCAATGGCGTGTTTAATAGCGAATTGAAAATAATAAATATCGATTATATATTTACTGTCAAGGACAAAAAGACAGACATGTCACTTAAAAATTATTGAAGATTGAATTTCACTATCGTACTACCAGACGAACGACAGGGCGCCATCTTTGTATAGTGGACATTCCACCATGACATTCCGCGGGTTACTCACGTGAATATACTGAGAAAGCTCTACTAGTTTCGAACCACAGAGGGGTTCTTCCTCATGAGCAGCTGCGCGGTCGCGGCGACGTCGCGCAGCTCAGTGAGCTGCTACTGATCCTAGTAGAGCTTTACTCTGTATGTCTGTAAGTATGTCTCACGATAGTTATGTCTGCCTTTTTTACAACGTCCTTGTTTCATTATCATCATCATCAACAGCCTATAAATGTCCACTGCTGAGCAAAGCCTCTTCTCACACGGAGAAGGTTTGAGCATTTATCACAGCGTCCTTGTTTAGTATTGTATTATTCATTTATTTATGTTTTTTATACAAAAGTTGGGATTAAATTTATTTTACAGTTTTTACAGTTCTAAAAAGTTTAAATAACCACTAGGTGGTTTAAATAGGTGGCGTTAAATTCGAGGAATGTCTTTAAAACTGTTGTTGTATGATGTATAGTACGACAGTTTGTAATAGAGCATCTAAATCGACAGAAGCGCCATCTGGTGAGGGCGAAAATTAAAGTTTTGGAGATGTTATGATCTGTATGTTTGTATGTTAATTATATTGTATGTTTATTTATTTTTTTCCAAACCATTTCGTGATATAAAACCTTAGTCGATTCGTATTCACCTCGAGAGTTATTTACCATATATTTTTATTAAGAGTCGAAGTAGTTTTGTCCAGAATATGACTTATGCCCGTTTTCACCAACCACTAAACCGTCACTTAACTAAGAGCAACTTAGCGTGAGGGAACACCTAATTAAATTACTTATACTGTTAAGCGTCGCAATAAAAACCAAAATGTCGTTAAGCGTCATCTATCTTAGCTAAGAGGACGTTGGTGAAAACGTGCATTATAGTAAGATACTTTTTCGAAACAAAACATACAGACTCTCTTATTTTTACATATATTTTAAAGACAGAATGCATTGTTACCTATATTTTTAGTTCCAAAATAAAGGTTATAATTTTATACACTAAAATAATCGGGTACTTGCCAACTAGTCAAATTCAATACTTTTTTCGAACTGTCAAAAACGACAGTTTTCTATGAATTTTGTACGACATTGTGTATTGTGACGTCACGTTTTTAGCGTAAAACAGCGTACTTATTTATTAAAATTTTGTTGGAAAAATACTAAAATTAAGCTGATTATAAAATCAATTAATGAAAGTGTGATTATTTTTTTTATATTTTATCGTATGGATTGTCAGTCGAAATAATTTATTTTTGATTAAGGCAAGTATCCAATTATTAATATAATGAGTTTATTTTAAGCGGTAACTAGTTTGTTGGTTCATTTTATGTGATATTTAGGTTTAGGTTGATTTATCAGCGATGTAGGACTTATACTTTAAAAATATACTGTACTAGATAATAGACTTCAAATTCAAAGACAAAGTATTTATATCAATAAACCTGTGAAGTGTCTGAACGACAGACGAATCTACGCGAATCACAATTTGATTCCTATTTTCTCATACATCGACTGACTACAAAGTACAGTTAAACCATAATTTGGTACTTTTGAAACGTCAACAAATACAAAATAAATAATATGTTGTCAGTCTGTCCGTCAGCGAAGCTAGGCGCTCGTTCCAAAATGTAGATTCTAATGGAGAAGAACAAGCAACTCCATTCGTTACTTAAAACTAAACTAGATTTAAAAAAAAAACATTTATACTCGGAATTTTAATTCGATTCCAGATTTGACAATTTCAGTGTTGCAACGTTGTGACAAGTACTAAATAGTGACGTTGCGAAATTATTCGATATGGAAATGAAATATTTCTGGATCGATTCTTCTCGTTTATAAGTTCACTCCCGTAAACTAAGTATATCAGGAAATTAAATATTTATGAACCGATATTTTAGTTTTGACGATTAATTAATGATCTAAGACCTTTCTTTTATAATTGTGTGTGAAATAAATAAAAAAATGTAATCATGAAGGAACATGACAAATAAAACAGATAGATGTATTATGGTAATAAGTTATTTTATAAATTGTCGCCGTCATCGCTATCGCTATCCTGTCACTTTCTGTAACATTTGTTATAAAACACACACACTGATTGTTTCTCGATTTTTGTGTTCATCACTACACTATTATATGTGGTATCATTATTTCACAAAATGACAGTAGCTATTGTCAAATCTGGAATCTAATTAAAATTCTGACTATATGTAAAAACACCATCGAAATTGGTTATAAAATAAGCGAGTTGTTTGTAATAACCGATTTGGCCAATTTTGATCTTGAACTGTTCGTGGAAGTCCAGGGGAGGTTTAAAAGGACAGAAAAAATTTTTTTTTCTTTTATTTCTATAGTATTAGTATTACATCGCTGGTAATACAATAATTAATGTTTATAATTAAATAATAATTGATTTCATAGTTATTCCACCGTAAGGCAGTAAGTCAATGGTCATAGTAACGGTTAGATTGCATTTTAACCAATATATTTAAACTCTATAGTAAACAGCTTCTGAAAATGAACCCAAAAAATGTTTTTCCTATGTAATATAGTTCTTTTTGCTCACAATATAAAGGTCATAATTGATATAATGTTCAGAAGCTCTGTATGTATATTACACTAAAGTTTTAATACTTCAGCAGCTCATGTAAATATTTGCCAGTCAAATGATGGTAGCAGTGACTGTCCAGCGACACACGTACTTAGGTATCGTCAACTGCCTATATATAAGTGGCCACTTCTGACCAAAGACTCGCACGGAGAAGATTTGAGCATTAATCGCCACGCTTGCTCAATGCGGGTTGGTAATTGCAAACTTATAATCACAAATTATTAGTCCAGATTTCCTCACGATGTTTTCCTTCATCGTTTGTCAGTGGTGTCTAAAAAATCTTAGAAAGTACGTATAACTTGGAAATATCCACATTGGTACTTTATTGTTGAAAGGTATAGAACCCGCTCACTGATGCATGAGAGGCGGGCGTCTTTAACCTCTGGGTCACCTCGTGGTGACACTCTGGTATCGTCATGAGCTAATGTTCACATGTAAACAGCAGCTCGTGTAAAGAAATTGTCGAATCATCTAATGGTAGCGTGATCGACTTTTTATAAAGTATTTCGACTATAGTGTAATATACATATAGAGGTATATTATATGAAACTCAATAATAATAAAAATAGTCCATGTTTAATAATAATAATAATAGTTTTGGAACATCATCTATCTATATGTATAAACAAATTGTAATTGATGTCCAAATTATGTATGAAT